CTCTTTATAGTGCAACATATGCACTGACAGCCCGAGATACTATCCTATTCCACTGTAACTGAATGATGATGGATTTACTGTTAAAGGTATTCAAGGCATTTCTCCTCCTTATAACGATGACATTCTCTGTGCGTTACCTTGTATTCTACATGTGTCCCTTCAACACCGGCACTTCGAAATACAGACCTGGTTCTAGAGAAAAATATTACTGTGTTTAGCAGTGCTTATTGTCTAATTGCATTAGCTCTAATCTGAGCAATTTGGCATGTACCGCAGGTCAAGAGATTGAATTTGAATGGGTATTCCAGTTGGCAAGATTTCAGAACCAGAGTAAGGCATTTCAAGCAGCAAAAAGGAGGCATAATATAAATATTGAATGTGTGTGCAGAGTATGAAGGGGCTGGAAAAGCTTTAAATAATCTTCATGAAACAGAGGGAGGCAGAATGTACTTTCAAGACCTCTTAGTGGGAGGTGGGTGGATATTCTTGTAATCAGAACCTGACTGCAGGGAGAACAAAGCATCCTAACTTTTTTTTTTGGTGGAACACCGGCCAATCCATTTAAAATTAGACATCTGCTTATTTAATCCTCACTGAGACATGGCCAGAATTTTCACAAAATTGTGATTTAAGTCCCAGGAATTGTTGGTTTAGGTGTTAAAGATTAATCACAGCATAAGGAGATTTGGTGATTATACTGCTGTCTCTCTCCCTCATGTAAAACTCATTATTTATGTCCAGAGTTTGTTACAGTAAGAAGTTACAAGATATTTTTTTTTACTTGCTGTCAGGCAGAGTCTGGTCTCAGAAGATAGTGGCATAAATCCAGAGAAACTCAACGCAAGCCAAGGAAGGTATTCCTCATTTAATCCAGCTGTTACAGAGCTCAGAATCTAGCCCTATGAATGTACATAATAATGCAACATGCCTTCGGTGAGTATTTCTGCCTGAAGTGAGACATCAAAGATGTGCAGAAACAACCAAACTTGAAAAAAATACACAGCCCCAGACACTTTGTATAAGTGGTTTTGTAAGTTGAGGATGAGTTGATGACAGAAAAAGAAAAAAAAAAGAAACAAAAATCAGAACCAACACAAAACAAAACCCATAGATGGGATAACCAGAAGCCTCTCAAATGATTCACTTTATAGCTTTTTTTCAGTTAATCAAATAGATATTTCACTCAAGTGATTTCAGAAAAAATTGTGTCCTCCATTACTATACAGAGAAGATACTTAAGAACTGGGCATATAATATGCTCAGAATTCTCAAAAAAAGAGTAACTATTTCCTGCCTGTTCCCTACTCCAAGGTATTCTGAAAACAAGACTAACTTTTCTCATCTGTAAATATAAATCAGCCTTGCAATATTGTCATGAAAACTAAACAGGAAAATCTACTTGCCCATCAATTACACAAGGGAGATAAAAATGAGGGGAAAGAAACAAATTTTACTTGCGTAAAATTTTTTACTTTACTCTCCCCCCCCAACAAACGTCTTCTTAGCTTAGGCACTTAAAAGCCCCTTAGTGTCTAAGCACCACATAATCACTAATGCCTATGCATTACCACCATTCATGTGAGGCAGGGAAAGACTATTTTGTACCTTTTATTGATGGAGAACTGAGGCACTAACTGACTAAAGCCATGACTGAAGAAGGGACTTGGGTATGGTGATGTTGGGTATCATAATGCACAACTTTCAAATGCCCACTCCAGGAGCAGAATACACAGACTGCAGACCTAGGTTTGAGCTTTGGATGCTGGCCTCCATGCTGGAGTCAATACTGTTGGGGCAGCTGAAGTGTGCTCTGAGCATGCCTACTGGATGGGTCCCACAGGAGGCAAAGGCACAGGACACCCTAGCTTGCGAATCTAAAACGGGTACAGGGAGGAAGCGCACTGCTCAGTCTTCCTATGGTGACAGTTCCTCTGACTATGTAGAGTAGCACAATTTTAGGTGCTTATGTATTTTATTTGTGATAAGTAGGTGCCTACATCCTCTCAGGAAGCCAGTGATTAGGCAGAGTTTTTGTGGATTGCTTTTCTTGTCTCTCACCAAATTTTTCCAGAATTGCAACTTAGGGGCCTAAGTGCCTTTTGGGCTCTTGCCCTAAGAGACTAGCCAAAGCCACCCAAGAAGTTGTAACTAAAGCAGGAAGGTGAACTTTGTTTTTCCAAATATAAGCCAATCAACCAGACACTGGACAATCCTTCATGATATCATTATGCTCATTAAAAACATACATCCACAGAGATATCTGCAGAAATAAACCTGCAAGGCAACTGCAGGAATTGTCTGTTTCTCTTGGGACCTATTTAGTAAGAACCAGCGTTTCAGTTTCTTTCTCTAGAGAATCCCTAGCTACAGTACTTTGAAATTGCCAAGGTTTCTTGTTCTCATGAGAACAGGACTAATCCAGCTTCCTAGATGTATTTAGACAGTGCAATACACACGCAAGTAGAACAGAAGTTACTGTAGTAAATGAACCTTCTGAGAGAGGAGAGTCTAGTCAAGTCCAGTGAAGGGGGTTGTTTTTATGGAAATGCCCAACACAACTTCACCAGTTGAAAAAAAGAAAAAAAATCAAGCTCCATTAATTTCTGTTTAAGACTGTAATAGGTCAGGGTGATTAATTTATACAAAGTAGGACCTAGTTAATAAAATATTGATATTTTGGAAAAAAAAGAAGTGTAAACTGAAAGTTAATAAGGCAGTCTGCTTTAAATAAAACATAGCAGATTGAAAAATGCTAAAAAACACGTCTCATGCCATAATGAGTATGGAATTTAAGAGGAAAAGCAATATAATGGTCAGGTACAAAGAGTGACCCTTGGCTATGCCCTTAATTACTTATATTGCCTATTTAAGACCTAGAATGCATTAAAATTAAACATAAGGAGAAAATGTTTCAGATTAAGTTACATTTGCATATTACAGTATTCCTAGCTTTTAGGGAGGGCTAATAGTCCTCATCACTGCAGTACCCAAGGGCTTCATAAAGGATGTCTTTTTGGCTCAGGACAGTACCATGCTGAGGCACTGTTATGAATGGTAGCAACTGAACTGGAAGTGGAATGGTTGCATTATTTCAGTGCTACGTACATACCAAGGCCAGGTACAGACATTACACTTTTACCAGTATAAGAGATTGGAAACTGGTCTATACCCATAATAGAACAGAAGTTTGTTACATAAAATCGGTCTATACCCGTAACAGAACAGAAAGTCGGCACACAGACTGGTTTAAAAATGGCAGAAGCCAGTCTAAGATTTGCCCTCCCCCATCAAAGTGCGAATGTGCATTCTGTCCGTCTGCTACTGATCTAAACTACGCTGCTTACAGAAACCCACGTAACGTGGATCAATTTCACCTCTGGCTTTTTGAATGTCTGTACCTAGCCCAATACTTTCTGCCTTTCATAATGACACTTACTCATTGCTTTTGGTTCAGGAGCCAGTCTGTGTGGAGCAGGAGCAGTACGTCTCAGTACTATACTGCTTTGCACCATGGTGGTATATTCACCATCATTAATAGATTTATCTTCACAACTCCCTTGTGAGGTAAGGGAAGTGGCAAC